ATTAATAGTACTACTCATGCCAACAAGATGCATCTACTTTTAAGGGAGCTCATCAGCTAAGAACTCCAAAGTTAAGCGTGCTTGCACGCGAGTAGTCTTGGATGGGTGACCCCCTGGGAAGTTTCTCAGGGCGCGCACGAGTGAGGACAAAGTGCGCGGAAAAGGCAAGTGGCGGTTTGTGAGGACAGTACTAGAGGTTAGAAGTAACTACCTCAGGGCCGGGGTGTTACAAATGGTATCAGAGCAACCCTGTGACAGTGTGTTAATCCGTTGGATATCGGGCGGACATTTAGCGGGGGGAAAAGATTCTGGGATATGATTGAGATTGGTTGATGGGCGCAACGAGGACGTTGCGTTCCTAAGTGGGGGTGATTGTAACACTTGAGATTTAATTTAAACGGATTAATATTACTACTCATGCCAACAAAATGCATCTCCTTTTAAGGGAGCTCATCAGCTAAGATCTCCGAAGTTAAGCGTGCTTGCATGAGAGTAATCTTGGGATAGGTGACCCTCTGTGAAGTTTCTTAGGGCGCGCACGAGTGAGGACAAAGTGCGCGGAAAACGCTAATGGCGGTTTTTGAGGACAGTACTAGAGGTCAGAAGTAACTACCTCGGGGCCTACGGGGCCGGGGTGTTACACTGGATGCAGGAGGATTACACCACTTTTGAACCACGGTATACTGTGTGTTGATTTATTCTCAGTCAACAAAGCACACACCCAGCACTTCTTCATTAAAGGGATCGTGGTTTGCAAGCAGCATCCTAAGGAGTAGTCTTAATTGACTCTACTGCTTATCCTACCGCTTAATAACTTACTTTTCCTAAAGACAACTGTTTCACAAGAGCCTTGGAACTTCACTACTAAAAGGTCCGTTTTGCCTATTCTAAGAAATACAACTTTCATAAGCAGCAGGTGCCTTAGCAGTTTCCTGGGTCTACCCAATTGCTTAGACCTCTACTTAAGCAAAACTTACTATTATCTCCAGCTCTATACATCTTCAGAAAGCTCTCATCATTCTGTATTTCTGTATAAGGCCACATAAGCATCTTTCTCAAACTCCTTGTTTCTAGCAGCAGTTGCCTCAGCAGTTCCCAGCCATTCAGGCGACTGCCAAGCCAGTTGCTCACCATTTAAAGTCCAAACTTCATCCATCATAGAAAGTTGTTATACACTATTTATCTAAGAGGTTAAAGACTTCCGCTGTGCATTTATAAATCTCCCAAAAGATTGTAGATCAACTCATCTAGAAGGGAAAAGGTTTCAAAGTCGAAAAAGCTTTAAAAGTCTATTAATCCTCCTCTAGACTTTTACCTCTATCCGGGACCAACAATTAGATTCTATTTTTGATTGCATATTGATATGGAAACAAAAATCCTTATAAATCCACCTTAATTAATTTGGTAAGCTTCAAATAAGTAAAATAATTTTTGGTATCAAAGTGAAGTTCTAATAACGTTTATTGATATGGAAACTAATTTATATTAGTTTACTACATCGAATTAAATAGAAACAAACATGCAAATTAGTTTACTTATTAATTTGACACCTATTAATAAATTAGTAAGCTTCAAATAAGTAAATAATTAAAAATGAAATTAAAAATTATAACCAACATAAAGTATATATATTTTCACAAGTAAATATGTTTAGCTTAGCCAAATAAGTAAAAAAAATTGGTTGTTTCTTTATTTTATACCTAAAATTCAAATATGTCTTCACTTTTGAAATAGATTTCTAATCCAAATTAGAAAATCTTTATAGGTTTACGAATTTCTACTTTTATTTTAATAGAATGTTTTTAATTGGATTGATTTCAGTTCCAGATTAAATCAGATCAGATCAAACTTTAATAATTATAACAATAAGTCACATAAAAAACAGACATCTAATATACCATATTAATTCATACCAAATCAACCCCGAAATTTTAATTCAATTAAAAATGCTCTTATTAATGAGTAAACTGTAATATCTAACAATTATGTTATTGGTTTTACACTATTGTTGATCTCATATGCATTTAATGCGTTGATTCAATTGATCAATTCATGTTTCTATTACGGAGTATTTATTTGTTTCCCATAGAAAAATGTTGTTAAATTCTCGAAAGGAAAGTAAACAAGTTTTGGAATTTCAAAATAAGATTGTGATATTTCCTTTTCCGAAACATGAGCAATATGGCGGTATTTACTATTAAACATGACAATATTTACTATCATTAGTGAGCATATTCTTAAATCATGACAATATTTCTCAATCATGATAGTAACGATGTTTCTTTCGAGAAGAAAAACATATCAATCAAATTTTAGAAATTCAAGAGTTATTTACTCATATTTAGAGCAATTACTCAGAAAACTTAGTTCACTCGGACTATATTAACATTTTACAATGTTTTGAATTGGATATGCTTCACACTCAATCCAGATAAAACCATACTTGAGCAAACCATATCAGGAGCCCGTTTGGTGACTCTGTTTTTTGGTTTATCAGACTTATCAGCCAACTTTTTAATCAAATGTGTAAATTTTGATTGCGCGCGTTGGATTGTGTAATAATAAGAAAAAACAAGGTTGTAGTTACTTTTATAATTGTATTGGCTGAAGTTACTGTAGATGATCATTTTAGCTAATTCTTCATATAATTTTTTATTTATTTTATTAGTTAAATATATTTTAATTATAATTTATTCATAAATCAGCAGAACCAGCCAATACAGCTACTTCAGTCAAAACTTCATAAATTTCAGCAGAATCAGCCCCGATTAATTAAGCCGATTTCATGCTACCAAATGGGCTCCAGAATTAAACATATCAAATCATATTTATTGAAATCATCATACACCAAATATTTATTGGATCATCCAATGTTAGACTTAAACAAATCATCATATTTTAATATACTAACCAAACAAAAGTTACAGTCCAATTTTTTTGAAAGAACTTACAATCCAATCAAGAAATTCTTATTCATGAAAAAAGTTGGAAAGATATTTCCACCATTTCATGCCATGAGTTGGGGCGAATATCCTAAAATTGGCTATTAGCGTTTATATTATTAGGGCACTACATGTTTATCCAATTAGCGGGAAAATTGATATTTAGAATCTCTTTGGTAAATTCATATTTAGTTTATCGTTATTATAAATCAAAGATATACGGTTCTCTCTTCTCTCAAGAGAGAGGAACTCTATCCGCCGTCTCCACACTTTGTAGAGATTGAGATTTTACGACATCCTTATCAATATGGGGTTGGAGTGATAGAATATATTGATTTTCAGTGTTCTAATGTTTGACATTGCAACTACGTAGGAGGAGATATCGTTGGTGAATGAATAAGGTGCGACGGAAAGATTGTATCGAGACGGGATCGTGAAGTCTTGGTCGTTCATTTCGACGGTGATGGAGTTGGTATTCACCCATATTGTAAGAGCTCGTCCTCCTCCCGAGTCCTGAACCACCTCCATACCAAGAAAAGCTTTGTGGAAAAATTTTATTTCAATACTATTTTCTCTTTAGTATCACTTGTTTCTGTTTTAGTCCGAGCAGATTTGGTTTTAATGTTTGAACTTTTGAGGTTATTTTTATAGGCAAGGTTTCAGTTCAGATCTAAAATTGCTCGTTTCACGTTTAGCGAGTCATGTTGTTTTATATAAGGTTGCTGATTCTAAGTCTACTCGTAGGATTCATTGTTCACGATTGTATCTGTAAATTCTGTCTAAAGGTTGTCTAGTTATTCACGATTTTAATATAAGGACCGCTCATTTATAATAATAAAAACATTATAAATCAAAGTTTTACCAAACATTGAATTGTTTAATAATAATAAAATTAGATTTACTACATTATATATTTAGTTTCAAGATGCAAATAAAAATATATTTTTCACAATTTAACATATTCAATAAATTCAGTTACTTCAACGAAAATTTATTACTCCGTAGCTTAGAACAATTTCAGCCAATTTTAGTATTAAATAAAATTTGATGTTAGTCTTCTAACGGAAATTGCTAAAGAATAACAGTTTTTTTTTCAGGGGATAATATTATTATTCAAGATATAGCATTGTGTATAGTCTCAGTCAAAGAAAGAGTCTTTATGTGAGATGTGGGAATCATACATAATTTATCCCTTGCGGGTCTAATCATATTCATACAGAGAAAGCCTATAATGCATTAGAGCATGCAGCATATTGGGTACCCCACGTCCCAACCACAATCCGCTCCTCCATTATATAGATAGAAGTTAGATGCTCTTCTTATGGAGGACAATATAATAATTTCAAATTTTTCTGAACAAATTCATTGAATAATTTCAAATTTTGCTTGCAAAGATTCTGTAACTATTCACGTACTGATTGTTTTAATTTTAAACTAAATTCTAATCCCTGTTTTGGCGAGATAATTTTTTCTATAATTCTAGGCGGGAGGAACCAAGACACGGACTGGCCCAATATGAATAATATTTATTCGGATTTTTTTTAGATAATTTTAAAACTTGAGCCGGTTCAACGCGAGGGCTGGCTCTCCCCTAGCTAGACCCCTAATTTTAGGGAATTAAAACTCAAGAGTCAAGACTACAAATACTAAAAATTGACTGATGTACACCTTTCTTTTACACCATTCTTACACTTTTTCTATATACACAAATAAAATTATCTATTTAGAGCTAACTTGTATATTTCAAATGAATTGTTTGTACACAAAATCTTTGTCTTTTGTCTGAGAGAACAGATAAAGTGTGTGAATGGTGCACCACTTTTAAAAACATATGAAGTCCCATTAATTATTGTTCTCAATTTTTTGTTGCTATTTTTGTTCTAATGAGTTAGTAATAAGCAGGATATATACAAACATCTCCATTTGACTATAGAGATGCAACTTTAATGTCCCCCCACTTAGACATAACCAGAGGGCTATCACATCAAATTTGATGCTCCCAATCACAAAGCCACTAATCAAAGCTTAGGATTTGGGAATAGCTGAGACTGGAAAAAGGAATTGAAGAGTGATAATCAACTTCAGAAGAAACCAAAACAAAAATGGACTAGAAAAGCAGCAAACAGAAAATTCATTTTTCTTGTATAATAATAAAGATGATATAACGGCATTAAGAACTAGCTTAGCTATTAATAATATTGGAGTGGAGTGCCCCACTCCAACGCCGCCAACGGAATCGCCACATGTGGACGGATTCTGGCAACGGCTACCCCGAGACTGCCGCAACTCACATTAAGCTGCAACTTGAGGTGTTCTCATCACTAAAGACGGTGCTATAGTTGTCATTTGGGGGAGGGGGGTAAGGGTAGTAAGGATAAGGAGGCATATAGTTGACAGCTGGCGGTGGCCGGGCATATGTCATGTGCTGGAACCTCTCGTTACCGTTGGCCCGCTGCTGGTTCATCATCATCGCTGCTAATTGCTGCTGTTGATAGGGGTTACCGGCTGCTGGCATCTCCGGTCCGACGCCACCTTGGAAGTAGCCACCGCCTCCCGCTGCGCCGCCCATGGGTGGTGCTGGCAGGCCTTGGACTGCAGAGAGTTGATGACCCATTTGGCCCATTGGGTGATGATTACTCATTTGCTGGCCCATTTGCTGGCCCATTTGTTGAGCCATTTGACTCATTGGGATACTCCCTCTTGGGCCCACACCTTGGCCACCAGCATTCATTGACATCACGTTGGGCATGCCAGGGAGCCCATCATTCATTCCACCACCTCCTTTCTTGCCCCCATTGCCGTTACCATTATTATTCTGATTGCCACCTCCTCCGCCCCCACTTCCACCATGGCCACCATTGTTTCCGGCCTTGTTCTGACCACCGCCACCACCATTGCTCTTGCCATCTTGGGGCTTACCGCCAGCATTCTTACCGCCACCGCCACCCTTTTGAGCCGACCCTGGACCTAGATTTGGATTGCCGCCCCCGCCCCCACCCCCACCGCCCTTTTTACCACCACCTACATTTACCTGAACAGGCATATTTTGTGGGGCACCACCCTTCTTACCATTTCCCCCACCGGCGGGACCTCCAATATTGCCGGCCTTCAACATATTAGGCATCTGACCGCCGGCAGCCCCACCCATACTCTGCGGAGGCTTCATCTTATTGGGCATGGGTATTTCATCCATTTCATCATCTTCAAAGTCATCATCTTCATCAAACTCATCATCTAAATCGTCATCATCAAACTCATCACTGAAATCCTCTTCAGGCATGCTTTGCTTCCCGACCTTCAGATTCGGCATCTGCAACTTACCACCATTTCCTCCACCGCCAGCGCCGCCTCCACCGCCGCCCGGCATCATCGCATTCATACCCATGGGAAGTTTCAGATCCTTGAACTGGCCAGCCATCTTCATGTCTTGAAAAGCCTTCAACTGCTGAAGCTGTTGGAGTTGCTGGGGATTAGGCATCATGGGATTTCCAGCTTTGCCCCCCTGTTGCTGCTGCTGGACCTGCTGGGGATGGTGATTGTTATTATTACCCTTCTGCCCCTGCCCCTTATTGTTATTCCCATTCTTGCCACTGTCAATCTGCAAATTCTTCATCTGATTATTAACTTGGTTCTGATTATTATTCCCACCCTTAGGGGCACCCCACAGCTCAGCATGTTTTCCATGTTTGGTAAGTTTCTTGATGAGAGTCGCCGGGTCTACATTGCCGGAGACTGTCACCTTGCCGGAATCCGAATCAACGCTTAGCTTATAAACTCCTGTTACACCACGAATAAATTCCCAACCCAAAATGGGGATATACAGAAGTCAAATTCACAGTAAATGAAACCAGATTCGGACTGCAAGCAAGGTTCTTTTCTTCTTGACAATTAAAAAAGATGACTTCTGCTTAAATTTACTATTTATGGAATATAATCCAATTGAAAGGATATAGATGTAAAATTTCAAGAGTTGAATATTGAATAATGTGTATATTAACTTTATGTTTGCAGCCATCACAGTGTATTTAAGAAGTATATATCCATACCGTCAATCTTCTGCAAGATCTTCTTTACTTTATGTTTGCAGCCATCACAGTGTATATTAACTTTTAGCACACAAGTCTGCATGCACAAGCAAAACCCAACAAAACAGAGTCACATCAAAGCCAGAAGCTTTAGTACTCAACACATTATTATCATTAAAATTATTATCATTAAAATACAGAATTAAAGAAAAACGAACAACCCCCAGAACTAAATTAAATTAAATCACGCACCCAGAATCAAAACTTATCGACTGATTTAACAAATTCAAAAAATCGAAAAGAAAACAGAAGAAGTTTGAATCTGCAAATCACCGACAAAGAAAAACTCTGTTTCTTTAAAAGAAAATGAAAACAGAGGGTAGTAATGAGAAGTATACCTGGATCTTCAAGAACTCTTCTTTACTCATCTTTGATATTTTAATGGAGCAACAGAAAAGTACAGAGAGAAGTAATGGGGTATGAGATTGTGAGTTTGTAGATCTGAGATGTAAATTAACTCTACAAGTAACTCTGAAAAAACAGAGCTTGCTTTGTTGTATATGTATGTATCCCTCTCCTTTTTCACAGCTAAGGTTTGACTAAAAGAATGTGACTCTAACCTGAGTCTTGAGGAAGAAAGAGAGACTGAGAGGGAAAAAATGCCGGAGAGAGAAACAAAAAAGTTCCAATCTTAGGCAAAGAAGATAGAGAAGGTGAGGAAGTTGATTCAGATGCGGTGGAGGGTGGACTTTAACATCTCTCTGGTGTCTGCTTCATCTATTTCAGAGTTAGAGAGAGAGAGAGAGTTGCGGCAGGTTTACTCCCCCTATTAAAGAAAGAAGAGAACTGGCACAGAGTGAGAGCAGAAAGAAGAGGTGCGGAGGTATTTGTTGTTGCTGGCTTGTTGCACTCTTTTGCAAAGGGGGTTGTACGTAGTACTCCGTATTTATTATAGCCATTTTATCTTTACCCGATTTTAGGGTTTCTTAATTTAAATTAATCAGTGACAAAAATTAAAACAATATGAAGATCTACCATACTTCTATTATTGTTTATATAGAACTATTATGAATATCGCATCATGTCACTACAATAAAAAAACGAACATAATTAACTTATCAAAAGGAATTAATGTAGTCACTGTGTATAACAAATTATATTTTCATCCAGGCTTTCATTCCAATCATATACCTCTCCGTCCCGGAATTATCTTCATATTTTCCTTTTTGGTATGTCCCAAATTTATCTCATATTTCCCTTTTTAACAAATAATTTGTGGTTCACAACCATTCTTACACATTCTTACACATTTTTCTTTCCTCTGCACAAATTTTCACTACATATTTCTCACTATCTTAATATGTGTGTCAATTGTACTTGTGAAGATAAATATAGGACGGAGGGGGTACTATGTATATGTCATTATTTCTTACAAATATTATTCTCGAAACAATTATACTTTTATTAGATACTTAAAATGATGCAAAGAACGGCATATCTTACATAAGCAACTAAACATCCTCTATAATCATACAAAAAATCGTTAACCTCAGAAAGCAATTCAAACGGCATACAATAAAATTGATCTTTTCTTTTCGAAATATCAAAAAATGATCTCTATTTATTGTCCATAAAAGACAGTCAAAAGAAAAAGATTAGTTTACAAATTCAATTACACTTTCTTGCGGAACATATTAGGACATATAGTGAGCATGAAAGTTACTCGTTAATCGCTATGGAGCAAATACGTGCTCCATAGCGATTAAATGTGCTCCAAACTGAGCATTTGGCTTAATACGTAAATGTACACAAAACTCAACAAAATAACGAGGAATTTTGAATGATGATTTCATGGAACAGTTGTAAGCAACATGAGGAAAACATCAATTTAAAAAAAGACTGGACCTTCATGCAAATTCATTAGTCGTATTAAATCAAGCCCAAATTACAAAATGAAATATGATGTTTAAAGAAAGCGCAGAAAACCGTTTTTGAGTATAACCCAGTTAACTTTATCTCCTAATTTCGTATTTCTACTATTCATCGCAGTCATTTAGCAGTTGTTAGTGAATGTGCGATTTATGGATCAAGAAGCGTGTATATCAAAAGACGGTATTTGCGTATTTGATACTCCCTCCGTCCCGTTAAAAATGGGACAAGAGGTAGTGACACGCAAATTAATAAAAAGTGGTTTATGTGGTTGATATTGAATTGATAAAGTAAAAATAAAGTAAGAATGATTTAGAACCACACAAACTTTACCAAATTTGGTATGAGACAATCTTAGTGGGACGGACCGATAAGGTAAAATGAGACAATCATAGCGGAACGGAGGTAGTACTATTTTTAGTGTAAATGTTCTTTTCGAATGTGTATTATTATTAGAGTTGTAGTAAACATCTTGTATTTTTCGCCTAAATTGATGTGTTCATAATAAATGATGTTTTGAAATTTGTTGTGCCTATTTAGCAGTTAATAGTGAATGTCGAGTATTGGTTAGAAAATATATATTATACATTCCCAAATACTATACTGCCTATACATCCTTTTAACTTAATGGGCTACGATTTATTGATCGTGAGATTTGTATTATTTTTTATTATAAAGAAAAGAGCACACATTACCTATATCAGTTGACTTACTTATGCGGATGGACAAAAGGAGGGACCCACTGACCGAATTTCTCAATCATTTGATCCAAGGCTTGTAACACAAGTTTGTGGGTTACTTATCGTATTAAATGATGGTATGCAGTACTATATTTAGTGTGGATATTTTTTGCTATTGTAATATTATTATTGTTGTGGTAGAACTCTCACATTTTCTAGTCAAAATTAATGTGTTTATAATCAATGTTATTTTTAAAGTAGTTATATGTAATTAACAGTTAATAGTGAATGTCGGGCATTGGTTCGAAAATATTACACAGTATATACTACCACATCCTCAGATGCTATATTGTTTATATATTCTTTTAACTTAACGGGTTACGGTTTATTGATCGCGAGAATTGTATATTTTGTTGTTATAAAGAAAAAGGGACGTGTTACCTATTTCGATTGAGTTAATTATGCGGATGAACACATGGAGGACCCACCGACCGAATTTCCCAATCATTCGATTTTAGGCTTGTAGCACGAGTCTGCGGGTTACTTATCATTTTACACGATGGTTAGAAAATATATATTATACATTCCCAAATATTATACTGCGTATACATTCTTTTAACTTAACGGGCTACGGTTTATTGATCACGAGACTTGTAGTATTTTTTATTTTAAATAAAAGAGCATACATTACCTATATCAGTTGACTTACTTATGCGGATGGACAAAAGGAGGGACCCAGTGACCGAATTTCTCAATCATTTGATCCTAGGCTTGTAGCACAAGTTTGTGGGTTACTTACCGTATTAAATGATGGTATGCAGTACTATATTTAGTGTAGATATTTTTTGCTCGTGTAATATTATTGTTGTTGTGGTAGAACTCTCATATTTTGTAGTCAAAATTAATGTGTTTATAATCAATGTTATTTTTAAAGTTGTTATATGTAATTAACATTTAATAGTGAATGTCGGGTATTGGTTCAAAAATATTACACAGTTTATACCACCACATCCTCAGATGCTATATTGTTTATATATTCTTCTAACTTAACGGGTTACGGTTTATTGATCACGAGAATTGTATATTTTGTTGTTATAAAGAAAAAGGCACATGTTACCTATTTTGGTTGAGTTAATTATGCGGATGAACGCATGGAGGACCCATTGACCGAATTTCTCAATCATTCGATTTTAGGCTTGTAGCACGAGTTTGCAGGTTACTTATCATTTCCATGATGGTACTTGCCTACTCGGTACTATTTTTAGTGTAAATGATCTTGGCCCGTGCATTATTATTGTTGGTGTAGTAAAAATCTCGTATTTTCTGCCTAAATTCAGGTGTTCACAATAAGTATTATTTTGAATGTCGGGTCATTGATTAAAAGTAGTTATGTCAATCTAGCGGTTAATAGTGAATGCCGAGTCATTGATTCAAAAATATTATACCTCCTCAAATACTATATTGTCTATACATTATATTAACTTAAGGAGTTACGATTTATTGATCATGGAGAATGTATTATTTTTTATTATAAAGAAAAAGGCTATGTCTTACCCATTTCAGTTGAGATGATTATGTGGATGGACTCATGGAGGGTCACCGAATTTCTTCATCATTCGATTCATGGCTTGTAGCACAAACTTGGAGATTACTTATCGTATTATTGTACTCGGTGCTATTTTTAGCGTAAATGATCCTTGTTCGTGTATATATTCATATAGCAGTAAAAATCTCATATTTTCTGCCTAAATTGTTGCGTTTATAATAAATTTTGTTTCGAATGTATTAATGACTATTTAGCGATCTGAGGCTTCTAGTGTTTTTTATAAATAAAAACTGATTTGTTAGCGCTTTTAGTTCGAATAAATTGCATAACGACATGTGGAACGACATGCTGATTGAATTTCTCAAACATTTGATTCATGGCTTGTAGCACAAACTTGTAGGTTACTTATCATATAAAATGATGACACTCATAGTATTTTTAGTGTGAAAGTTCTTTGCTCGTTTATTGTTGTTGTTGTTGTTATTACATTACAAATCTCATGTTTTTCCTAAATTGTTCCATTCATAATACATACGTATTATTTTGAAAGTAGTAACGTCTATTAAGCAGTAATTCAACTTTAAATGATACAAATATTAATTTATAAAAAAAACCAACACTGAAAGAAGATTAATTTTAGAATCTATTAAATGATGTTTTGATATATAAAATAACATATGCATACATATACGATAGTATTACATACGAAGTATAAATTCTCTACTTTTATTGAAACAAAGGGTGCTTTTTAGTTGTGTGTGTGATTATTATGTTGAGAATATGCATTTAAAATACTTTTATCCCACTAAATTTTGTTAATCGTTGCATAATAGTTATCCTCTAACTTCATTAGGAAACACTCTCTCTCTTAACAATTTGTTTATTAAGATTAGCAAAACCCTACAAAAGAGAATAGCTATGGTTTATAAAAATGTCTATCGGGCCAACAATACATAATTTACACGTGATTCAACAACAAATGAATAACTATGAAGTGAAGGTGTAAGAATCTCCAACCTGTTTGGTCTCCCCTCAAATTGTGTTACATATTGGGGACTTAGCGAATTCTCATTAAAGCAAGCTTGATGACATGCGTAAGCATATGATTAGAGATAGGATGATCTTTGCTCTTGATGACATGCGTAAGCACTATTTTTTTGTTGCAACATGACGAACACTTTGTCACGGTGCGTCAAAATATTTCGATACTAACACTTATACGTAGTATAGGTGAAGTAGAATTCGTATCCACAGGGAAATGAACAATTCTCTTTTTTATGAAACTTAGTAAATAAGGGGGGGGGGGGTTTCGTGATGAATGGTTTAATTAAATTAAAAACTAAGATGAATGACTTATATAAGATTTAATTCAAGAATAGAAGAGACTTGGCTTTGCTACTTTCCACTTGTTGATATATTTTAGTCGATCCTTGTTATATCTATAACTTATCCCCTCTCGAATACTCAATCGAGGAGTATCTCCAATTCATCGAGGGTAGTTATTAACAACGATCGTTCATTAATAACACTTACTATTAATCAAATATAGAACAACGTCGTATACCGATTATAATAGTAGCATTCAATCTTTTTAACTCCTTGATGAAATCAATTGAGATTGATAACCTGAACACAACGGTTTTGGTTTAACCAACAAAATTGATCCCTCTTAAGTCTATTAACCACGATCGTGCATTAATAAACCGAAGTTACTTACTTGTGAAATCACCAACGATTAACCATCGGTTCATTGATCGTTCTAG